AACAATATGGTTTTATTTGTTTTGTCTATATTTTTGTATATTTTAAAAAAAAATTGTTAAGAGTTGAAAGCACTCAGGCTAGTTAGATACTAGTTTTGCACTGTTACTTGTCAGTTTATTGCATATATATATATATATATATATATATATATATATATATATATATATATATATATTTACATATACATACATAGCAGATAACCTAGTTTGATTTTCATGTTATTTAAGCATTTTTTTGAATTTTTAAATAGATTTCTGCAAGTTCTTGATGTATATTAATACAAACCATGTTAGAACAGCTGCATATAACCTGCTTATCTATGACTAATAAAATGTGGTAATCCTTTTATATGCATATATAGATGACCTGATTAGCCAAGGCTAATACAATGTAGCAAGCCATTTTATATGCATATATAGATGACCTGATTAGCCAAGGCTAATACAATGTAGCAAGCCATTTTATATGCATATATAGATGACCTGATTAGCCAAGGCTAATACAATGTAGTAAGCCATTTTATATGCATATATAGATGACCTGATTAGCCAAGGCTAATACAATGTAGTAAGCCATTTTATATGCATATATAGATGACCTGATTAGCCAAGGTTAATACAATGTAGCAAGCCATTTTATATGCATATATAGATGACCTGATTAGCCAAGGCTAATAAAATGTAGTAATCCTTTTATATGCATATATAGATGACCTTATTAGCCATGGCTAATATAATTTAGCAAGCCATTTTATATGCATATATAGATGACCTTATTAGCCATGGCTAATATAATTTAGCAAGTTCTTATATGTTCATATATAGCTGGCCTGATTAGTCAAAGTTGATGTAATGTATCAAGCCCTTTTAAGTGCTTATATAGATGACTTGATTATCCAAGGCTAATAAAATGTAAGACCTTTTATATGCATATATAGATGACTGATTAGCCAAAGCTAATAGAATGTAGTAGGACCTTTTACAGTTTATTTGCACATTAAGATGACCAGATTGAAATCTTTATGCCATTTAAGCAATTTTTTCACATTTTATTGGAGTATGACAACTTTTTGATGAAAATATTAACACAATTACTCAGAACTGCTTTTCCAATGCAGTGAAATTTGGTATGCCTGTTTAGTTTTGCAAGTCTTCACTTGTACTTCTCCAAGTGTGCTGATTGGCCATCACACTTAGGATTACTGAAATTATGCAAACTTGTCCAACAATGTGCCATTAATTTCAAGCTCTGAATAATCGTCTTTTAAATAAATGCATCTGCCTTGTTACATTTGCCTTTTAGACGAAGTAAGCAGCATCAGAACTACTAGGGACATTGGCATGTTTAGGTATTAGTGTATGGCATCTAAAAATCCTGGGAGGTCTTTATTACATTTTTTGTAATAATATTGATTTAAGTCATTTTAAAACCATTGCAATATCAACAAACCTATTAAATATGTGAATATATTTTTAAAAATTCTTTTGTACCATATAACTTTGAAAGTAAAATTCTTTGTCCAAAAAAAGGTTTATCTCAATTATGGCTATATGCATGTTCAGAAGTGTGATTGCCAAAAGAAATGAATCATGATTACAATTATTATTATTTATGCTTTATGAGAGTCAGTGTTGTTGCTTTTTGTCACTGAAAGGAAAGGTCATTGATACGAGTTTGTAAATATTGGTATGCTTCATTTTTGTGTCAGTTTTCTTGATCAATTCATGGTAAATAATTTCAGAGAGAAACGATCAATATCATTTCAAGTGATATTTTGTTGTTTATTTAGATTCTCCCTGATGTCCTATTTCTTTGTTTTATTTGAATTAAAAGAATTCAAATTCTTGTGCACATTTTAATATCTTTGCCAGTTGTCATTTCTGGAGCTCTCTATTGCAGTATCTACAACTACCCTTTCACTCATCTTCAAGCAAACCCCCCCTCCTTGTTTCTGCCCCAAAACTTTAAGAAGATTTTGATGGATTGAGTTCACAATTAGCACAATGGAAATGACTTGAAAAATATTAAAATGTGTTCATGGTACACAGCAAAAGAAGCCAAACTGGATTTACAGATGTACATCTGATGGTTGTTGCAGTCCACATTTCTAATAGTGGTATAATTAGCAAAAATAAGCAAATTATTGCTCAGTCTTAATTTACTTTTAAGTATATTACAAGCAGTCAGATTCTCACAAATCCAAACTTTGAAAAAAAAGAAGCTACACATATTTCAGCAATTGGGGTAAAATTAGAGATGAGGAAAGAATAATATTGAAAAGTATATTGTTCCCTCCCTTCCATGTATACTGAAATTTGAATGACAGACTCGTAAATAAATTTTCACTTTATAGATATTATAATTGAGAAATAAGAGCAGCAAATGTCAAGTAATACAATGCAAAATATTTTGTTAGGAGATAAGGAGTTGCATTTAAAGGAGGAAAAGCAAATGTCAAGTAATACATTGCAAAATATTGTGTATGGGGACAAGGGGTTGCATTTAAAGGGGAGAGTGAATGTGACTTTCAAGTGTGGAATATTCCAAAAATCTTTAAAACAGAAACCTTCAGAGCTAAAATATTTTGCTAGTGGCAAGAGCCCAAACCTCATGAGCTGTTATGCTGTCTTGGATTAGTTTTTATACTTATATGCAAAGTCAATAACCCGTCATATACAGGATGACATCCCAAGCAGAAATAACTATCAACCCCTCAATGAACTGGTCAGAACAAGCAAGATATCCCTCTTATAAATGGGGGAGCCAACACAGCTGAGTGCTAGGCATGCAGAATTTGTGACGAAATGAGTGCGGTTTAAAATGTGCCATCGAACCAGCCTGGTTCAGATATCATGGTTTGTCTGTGGGCAAGGCCTTTCTTTCCACCTGGCACTAAATAACAAACTTGTGTTGTTGTGCCATCAAGCACCAAATCAAACCCTCTTTTTGCTTCAGTATACCTCTGTTAACGCTGCTGCCAGGTTCATAAAGTCACTGATACAAGATTTTCCAGCTTGAGAAGAGTATTTAGATTAATCCGTAAATCCAGTTGCCTCATTTTCTTTGGGAATCAGAAGGAGGGAAAGGCATTTTTATTATGGTTGGTTGGCTTCCGTTAGTCTCGAGAGACAATGGAAATGCGCCCATGAAAGGTGTTCTAGTTTGTAGCTGTGCAGCGTCTTCTGTGACTATAAAGTCCCACACGGGAGTGGCAATCCTTGCTGAAGTTGCTACACTTGAAGTATGAATCAGGTCTTGGTTGGAACTGCATCCTCTTCCTCTGAGATCTTTTCTCATCAGCGAGCTGTCATAACTTTTCCTCGCTGGCTTTCAGACCTGTGTACAGAGCATGTCGCCAGCTGGACTTGTCAAGGGCAAGCTCTTCCCAGGTGTTGACCTCTATTCCAAGAGCTTTCATATCCTGCTTGCAGACATCCTTGAAGCGAAGATGTGGCTGTCCTATTGATCTTTTGCCTGAGGCAAGCTTTGAGTAGAGAAGGTCTTTGGGGATCCATCCATCATCCATTCGATGCACATGGCCCAGCCATCTGATGCGACGTTGGCGGAGGAGTGTGACCATGCTGGGAATTTTGGCCTGTTGAAGCACCTCGTTGTTTGTCACACGATCGCTCCAGGTGATCCCAAGTATGCGACGGAGACAACGCATGTGAAAGGCGCTTAGTCGTTTCTCCTGAGAGGCATACAGGGTCCAAGTTTCGCTGGCATACAGAAGAGTGCTAAGCACGCAGGCACGGTACACAGTGATCTTAGTGTTTAATGTCAGCTTGTTGTTGTTCCACACTTTCTTAGACAATCTAGAGAGAGTTGTTGATGCCTTTCCAATCCGCTTGTTGAGTTCGGTATCAAGTGAGAGGTTGTTAGTGATGATAGAGCCAAGGTAAGTGAACTCACTGACTACTTCTAGTTTGTAGTTGTTAATGGTTATGATGGGAGGGTCTGCGTCCTGAGCCATCACGTTGGTTTTCTTTAGGCTGATGGTCAGCCCGAATTCATCACATGCTTTAGCAAAGTGATCAATCAGGCATTGTAGTTTAGCTTCAGTGTGAGTGACTATAGCAGCATCATCTGCAAAGAGCATGTCCCTAATGGTTGCTTTCCTTACTTTGCTCATTGCCTTCGTTCGAGCCAGGTTGAACAGTCTGCCGTCTGAATGCGTGTGCAGGTAGATCCTTCTGTGGACGTCCCAAAGGCGTACTGAAGCAGGACAGCGAAGAAGATGCCAAAGAGCGTGGGGGCAAGGACACAGCCTTGTTTCACTCCGCTGTGGATATTGAATGGTTCGGACAATGAGCCATCATACTGCACTGTGCCTTTCATGTCTTCATGGAAGGATTGGACCATGCTTAACATCTTTGGAGGGCATCCAATCTTTGTCAGGATTTTGAAGAGTCTGTCTCTGCTGACCAGATCGAATGCTTTGGTGAGGTCTATAAAAGCCAGGAAAAGGGGTCTGTGTTGTTCCCTGCATTTCTCCTGCAGTTGCCTGATGGAGAAGATCATGTCGATTGTGGACCTCTCTGCGCGGAACCCACACTGAGACTCTGAATATACTCTGTCGGCAAGCGTCTGCAGTATTTAGATTAATCCCTAAATCCATTTGCCTTTTTTTCTTTGGGAATCAGAAGGAGGGAAAGGCATTTTTATTACAATCATTTTAATTCAAGAGAAGGTGAAGTATCAGCTGCCCATTCTGTGGCAGGCAAGATGAGTGTCTGGAGTTTTGCATTCCATCTCATCCCAAGGAAAATACATTAGGACAACCTAAGCAGACACAGGTTTGACTGATAACCGGGGGTCAAAAATGGACCATAGATGATTCTGTAAGGATAGCAAGGCTACTTGGAACTTTAATCTACATGGATTGTGGTGAACTTGAATTTGCATTAGTCACTAATGATACCATTTTTAAAAATCCCAAATGGAAAAGCAGAGGTCTAAGGACTTGATTTTCCTTTACCTTTTGAAATAAATAATTACCGCTCCAGTGGCCTAGTGGTTAGAGCATCCACCCTGGATGCGGGAGGTCATGGTTTCGATCCCCAGCTGAGTCATACCAAAAGACTTTAAAAATGGCGCTCAGCATTATGAGGTTAGTGTCTGGTTGGCCTGGTGTCAGGATAATGTGACTGGGTGGGACATCATGCTGCATGTCTTTGGCATGATGTCACACTGCAGACATCATAGTGATATGACTGAAAATTTTTAAAGCTATGTTAAAAATCCAAATCTTACTAACTAATAACAGCTAAGTTAAATGGAAGAAGGTGAGTGCCCTTTTCAGATAACAGCTCCTGCAAGGTGATGAAAGTGATCTGCAGGAATATCATGAATTAGTGGTTCAGTGAAAGAGGCAAAGTTGAGAATATCAGGAAGCAAAGAGATTGCTTTGCTAAAATTAATCTCTTCAAGTGGATATGGAGATTACCATAGTGATCATAAAGGTCACAAAATCAAACCAAAGAAGTTTTTAATGCCATGTCCAGCAGAAAGAAGAGCGGGGACAGAATGAGATAGGACTTGTCCTTGTTGGCAATTAATCCAACACAAAGCACAAGTAAAACAAGGGGTTTTATGTCTTCCTTTAGAAGGATTTCACCCTTAACCTTTGATTTGTAAGATCTTCCTCAATGGATTTTAGAAAAGCCTTGAGGGGTATCCATACTGAACTTAGGTGTCCTAAAGGTGTTGGTTAAGAGAGTTCAATGTAGCAAAGGCCTGTAGTAAAATCCCATTGGTGTTGTGCATATAAGGAACTTGTCCACTCTTTTTTGTATGAAAGTGTTTATTTCTACTTGGAACCATGGGTTGTCAGGCCAGGGTGTCTCCTCATCCTTATTGAAGACTTCACTACATCAAGGTATTCAAAATAGGCAGTATGGGCACTGCATTTTCTGTAGTAAAGTTGCTGGGAAGAAATGCCTGGTTTAAACCAGGTATTTTCTCTATATTTTGTCCATGGTAGCTGGGCCAGCAAAGTTTGCATTTTTGGCAGCCTGTTTTCTTATATTTGTTATCTGGCCCTGAAAGAGGTCTGAAGATAGGCTACAGAGGTCTGAGGATAGGTTGCAATCTGATGATGACAGAATGGTTGTAAATGGGAGTGCATCTTTTGCGCTCAAGAGATTTGGTATTCAGTTTGCTGAAATATAGCTATCAAGACCAAGCTGAGCATTGAAGCAGTCACTATGATCTTGCAAACAGTTTGTTGCATGTTGAAATGGATCCACTGACGAGCTGGGCTAGGCTAGGATGTAAGTATAATAGTAAAAGGCAGGTTAAAAAAAATGGTTTGTTGATACTTAGATTTTGAGTATGCCTTTCATAGCAATGCATTTGTCAGTAATTCACCCGATTGAAACGGCTGTTTTGAAGGCTGGTCATATATCTTTTGTTTTCGGATACAGGAATTCTATGAGTTTACTGATGGAGCTGGTAAAAGTAGAAGGCATAAGACTTCTTCAACCAATGCAAGGAATGTCACAATCATGGAAGGAAGAGTTTGTCATTAAATTTGTGAGAGGTGGGTGGAAAGAAGGTTCTGGCAAAGGTAATGAAGAATAAATTGATAATGGTGTCAAGGCTGGTCAATGAGGCTGCAAGTCGGTCCATGCTCAGTGATTTGCCAGTGTTCTCTTGAATATCACTAAAAAACAAAGACTAGTGATTGACCTATCCAGTGCTGGCCCATGATACATATATTTCTCTGAGTCTGGTACTGAATATTGTGGGACAGTAGTTCACAAATTCCAGCAGCGCTGGTTACATTAGGTGTCCATGATGGAGCAGGGACACCCTGACATGACCAGTTTTGCAAGTCAAGGTTCTGCTAGATCTGGAGTCGTAGTGTAGGGCTGGCTGATTTCTGGTGTTTAGTCTGGTACCAGCTATTATATGAGTGATCCCCATTACCAGTATAGAGATCTGTATGAGGTGACATGTCCAAGACTGGTACAAGTGGTCTTCTGTACCATGTCAGTTTTTGACCCAATAGTCTGTTGTTTTTTAATGCTTTGAATGTGGCAATGTGGGATGGGTATACCAAGACAAAAAAAAGATCACCATTCCTAGTCCCCCTTTTAGAAGACATTAGTTGAGATTGTGCGAGTTGGACTCAACATAAGCAGGGTTGGCTGGAGTCCAATTTGCACCTAGTCAAGCAAACAACCTTTGTAGCACTTTTTTTGCATAAACGAGCCAAGAGATGGTGAACATCCATTTCACTTGGAATGGCTGACTTATGATATAGTTGATGGCCTCAGTGTATTATTAGGTAACATATGAAAATAAAATAATGATTGATTGATTAATTAAATTTTAACGGCGCACCAGCACTTTTAGGCTATTTAGCGCCATACAGTAGGTCATATTTGTAAAAAGGTTCAATATCGACCAGCGATATGGTAAAAAATCCATAGTAGATAAATATAAAATGGTAAATGTTGGTAACAGTTAAAGATATTGGTTCACGATCAACGGGAGATGTAAATGATGTATCTTGATGAAAAGATGTAAATAATAGTTGGTATTGGTATTAGTTAAAAATTAGTTTGGGTAAGGTCATAAAAAGTTACAGTTTAAAATAAAGATTTACTTCCTTTAGGAACTCCAAAATACTAGTGATTTGAATAGTATCAAAAAGTTCCTGCATGTCGTGTACATTATAGTATTTATCACGCGTAGGTTGCAGGTCGGAACACGTGGTCATAAAGTGTTCAACAGTAAATGGTACATTGCAAGGAATGCACTCTGGTGGATCTTCACCTTTTAGTATGTGTGAGTGGGTAATGTATGTATGACCGATTCTGATTCTTGCAATGACAACCTCCTCCCTACGAATAGTTCTGTAGGAAGGAGTCCATTCTCCCAAGATTGGTTTGATGGCATGAAGTTTGTTATTGATTGCATCATCCCATGATACCTGCCACTTTTGACGTAGATACTTTTTGATACAAGGTTTAAAATCAGAGTATGGTAATTTAAAATCCGATGGTTCTAAAGATAGGGCCATCTTAGCAGCCCGGTCTGCTTCTTCGTTACCTCTAATACCAATATGGCTAGGTAGCCAACAGTATACTATATTGCATGGGGCACTAAGTTCAGAGTTTTTTATCAAAACATTCACCAATAGTGGATTATCTAGTTTGATATTGTGTAGCGCCTGAAGCACTGATAATGAGTCACAGAAGATAATACTATTTAGAATATGATTAGTTTCGATAAATGTCAGAGCAAGGTCTATTGCTCTGATTTCCGCTGTAAATATGGATGCATCATTTGGCAAACGCTCTTTGGTTATGTGTTTGCCACTGACGAAGGCTGCAGCAGCCTTATCAGCAACCTTTGATCCATCAGTATAAAATCTAGCATAATGTGTAAATTCATTGAGTAGATCATGATAAGAATTCAAGAATAGGATAGGGTTTGTCTCAGATTTTTTCCGATCGTGTAACGTAAAATTCACTTGGGGTTGCTTAATGAGCCAAGGTGGTATTTTCGAGACAAAAGTTTTCTGGATTAAAGATAGATTACATTTGATTTGGTCAAAGCAGGATGATATTCTAATACCAAATGAAGGTATAGCATTTGGTTTATTTACGTATAAAGCTTTGTAATTTGGATGAAAAACGGCCGAAAAAGCTGGGTTCAGAGGGTTGGATCGTAATTTAAGAGCATAATGTGCAGAAAGCATTTCTCTGCGATGCGATAAAGGTGGTTCATTCGCTTCCGCGAGAAGGCTTTCACACGGAGATGTCTTAAATGCTCCTAGAGCAAGTCTTATTCCCTGATGATGAATTGGGTCAAGCATTTTCAAATAAGACTTCCTAGCTGAACCATAAACAATGCATCCATAGTCTAAGATGGAACGGATAAATGTTCTATACAAATTAAGGAGGACTTTTTTTATCAGCACCCCAATCAGTGTGAGCAATTACTTTAATCAAATTTAAGGCTTTTAAGCATTTAGCTTTCAAATTCTTAATGTGTGGTATGAATGTCAGCTTTTTGTCAAAAAGAACACCCAAGAATTTGGTTTCCTCAACAACTGGAATAAGTGTTCCATCCAGCGTGAGTTTAGGGTTATCATGATGTCTTCGCAACTGACAAAAATGCATGCATACTGTTTTTGATTTTGAAAATTTGAAACCGTTATTACTGGCCCAACTTTGAATCTTATTGATATTTTGCTGTAGTTGCCTCTCAATTGTATGCATGTGTTTTGAGCGATAACAAATTAAAAAATCGTCAACATATAATGAGCAGTTAACACCGGGAGCTAAGCATTTGGTGATACTATTGATTTTGATGTTAAAAAGCGTCACAGATAAAATACTGCCCTGGGGCACACCCATCTCTTGCTGGTGTGTATCGGAGAGGGTAGAGCCCACTCGAACTTTGAATTCCCTGTCAGAGAGAAAATTAGAGATAAATGAGGGCAGACGGCCTTTGAGACCCAGATCGTGCAGGTCTTTTAGTATCCCGTACTTCCATGTTGTGTCATAGGCCTTTTCTAAATCAAAAAATACCGCTACTAAATGTTCTTTTTTGATAAAGGTATCACGAATGAATGTTTCTAGCCTAACTAGATGATTATTAGTACTCCGTCCATATCGAAAGCCACTTTGGAAAGGAGATATTAAATTGTTAGCTTCTAAGTACCAGAGTAGTCGAGTATTGATCATTCGTTCCATTGTTTTGCACACACAGCTTGTCAGTGCAATTGGTCAGTAGCTGTTGGGGTCTTCGCTATCTTTACCGGGTTTGGGAACTGGTATTACAATTGCTTCTTTCCAGTTTTTGGGTACATTACCAATAATCCATACATCATTGAAGAGTTTTAAAAGAGTTTTTAATGATGGTTCTGGAAGGTGTTTCAAAAACTGGTAATGTATTTCATCAGGCCCAGTGGATGTATCATGGGCCTTATCTAAAGCCTCCCTAAGCTCTGATAATGAGAACAACTGATTATAATTTTCCGAGTTCTTGGATGTGAATTTTAAACGTGACTTTTCTTTTTGAGCTTTAAGTTTTTGGAAGGCTTCGGTATAATTAG